GAAAGAAAGAAAGAAAGAAAGAGAAAGAAAGAAAGAAAGAAAGAAAGAAAGAAAGAAAGAAAGAAAGAAAGAAAGAAAGAAAGAAAGAAAGAAAGAAAGAAAGAAAGAAAGAAAGAAAGAGAAAATATCAATGGGTCATCAGTATTTCTAATGTAAATTATCCCTAGTTTAAGAGTAGGGGTGGGTAGCAGAAAATCAAGGTCACTGAAAACTGAACTCCACCCAGTCAAATAGAGAGGGAGAAAGAAACATAGAGAAAGTAAAGGTCAGCACATAAACATGTGTGAACTAAACAATGACTAAACATCAGTTTATCTTGTGTTGTGTTCTGGTAATCCCACAGGCATTCTGATCCATTCCAGTTTTATATCCTATCATATAACTGCTCCTCCCCCCTTTGGAGACAGAAATATGTGCATTTGCATTCATTTTTATTCAGTAGGTATCCTTCAGGCTCGAGAGACAATGGTAATGTGCTCTGTACAGAGGTCTTGGAATAGAGTCTAGTGTGGCTAAGAAGGCTAATACAAGAGTGACAATCCCTTCCACACTGATGAAAAAATGCAATCTGTCCCATGTCCAGCTCCCTGATTTTGCTGGTTTTGGGACTGCCTCTTTGCCTTGGCCTGCTGGACAAGGGTCTCTTCAAATTGGGAGAGGCCATGATGCACTGCCTGCCTCCAGGCTGAATGCTCAGATGTCAAGGTTTCTCATCTGTTGAGGTCTATTCCTAAGGCCTTCAGATCCCACTTGCAGATATCCTTCTATCGCAGCTATGGTCTCCCTCTGGGGTGATTTCCCTGCACTAATTCTCCATACAGGAGACTTTTGGAATCCGACCATCAGCCATTATCGTAACATACCCAAGCCAACGTAGATGTCACTGTTTCAGTAATGTATACATGCTAAAAAGTCCAGCTTGTTCTAGGACTACTCTATTTGGAACTTTGACCTGCCAGGTGATACCAAAAATCTGTCGGAGGCAACGCATATGGAAGGTGTTCAGCTTCCTCTCCTGCCATGCACAAAGGGTCCAGGACTCACTGCAGTACAGGAGTGTGCGCAGGACACAGGCTCTATAGACCTGGATCTTGGTATATGCTGTCAGCTTCTTATTAAGCCATACTCTCTTTGTGAGTCTAGAGAACATGGTAGCTGTTTTGTCAATGCATTTATCCAGCTCGACATCTAGAGAGAGGGTGTCAGAGATTGTTGAGCAAAGGTACACAAAATTATGAACAACCTCAACTTCTTGTGTGGAGATGGTAATTTTTATTAAAGTACACATTTTGAATGCATTTCCTTTTCTGTATGCATTTTATTTTCCGCATTGACTAAAGCATGTTTTTCTGCATTTTTTTCAAATATATATGCATTTTTGTTCACAGACATTTTTCAAACACATGATTTCAGTGTTTTGGTTTGTTTGTTGCTGAAACATACTATAAACCCCAGAAATTTGCAAATGTGTGTCCCAGTGCTAGCCTCAGGCCAGAAACAGACACTTTCAGTGATTTCTCTGCAACATTAATATGCTTGCATATTTTACGTATCTGTATTTTGGATACTGGTCATTGATCATAACAAAGTTTATCCATCTAACTATGCTTTCAGCTCTTATTGTAAGCTACCACAAAGTCTGTTTTTGGAGTCAAAAGGTGTGAAATTGATATTTTTGCAGGGAAATATAAACCTGTTAAATTTATTGGGTTTCTATCCCCTCCCAAAGTGAACTTCCCCTTTGCTTTGAAAGGATCTGCAGCTTTCTAAACCTACAGCACTCTTCGTGTCTCAGTAAGCCTGTAAGTTTCAGCTCCAAATATTCAGCAGCAGATTTCCACTTGAGAAAGACAATCACTATTGAAGAGCTGCAAAATGGAAGGGCAGGGTCTTGGTTCCAAGGAGAAAGCAGTGGGCAGGGAGAGCTGTGTAAGCGTTCTCTCACTTGGCTGGTGCTTTTCCTCTGCAAACACTTCTTTTTGACTGCTCCTACCCCTCCTCCCACCACCAGTAATAACAAACGCACAGTCATACACTTCCCTGAAGAACACAAAGAGGACTCCATCAAACTAAGAACCAATCTTTCTAGAGGCAAAAATGATGAAACTGAGGATGCCGTACTGTGGGCACATCAAGGCAAGAGAACACTCACTGGAAAAAGACAATAGGACCAGGAAAACCTGAATGCAGAAGGAAAAGAGGAAGATCCCATATGAGGTGGGTTGCCTCCTCAAGGAATCAACAGTGTAACCTTGAATCTGCAAGTGCTGAGTGGAATATTAATAACAGAACATTTTGCAGGTCAGTCACTCATTGGATCCCCATAAGTCAGAGACTTGAGGGCACACGATAAATAGATTAAACCAGATGACACCCCCTGTTCACAAAATTAGCAGTTAAACATCAGCAATAGGACCTTGGAAAATTACTTTTAAGAAGGAGTTATTCACAGCAATAATTCCACCCCCAAAATATCAGTTTCGGATGTAGTTTCAATTTTACTGTGAAGACTACCTTACCAGGCACTGGCCTGTAGGCAACCAAACATACTCTCCTCCCATTCACGTGTTTGTTACCTCAGCATCTGAAACATAGCGGGAGGCACCAGCAGGAGGCATGAGGTACCATTTGAACCTTGTGGTAGTCCACCTCTACCTTAGTGAGGCTTCACCTCTTATAAAACCTACTTTAAGCACATGCTGACTCTGCAAAAGAACTGAAATATCCTCTCATGTCATCTGCTCAATTTACCTTGGTTATGTCTCTGTTATTTAAAAGGCAAATTAAGTATAAATAAATAGCTCCGCCACCTCCATGTATACACTTTTAAAAAGTCAATCACGCAATTAATTATGTAGATGCTGTCACATCTGGCCTGGTCCCGGTCTAACATGAGGTAAACAAAAGTAGATGTGTTTAACGGTCCAGCAGACATTAAATAAAAATCCACTGAATTAGAAAACACACACACACACACACTATAGTGATGTTGCATTAAAATTGAACAATATGTGAGAAACCCTAATAAAAATAGCAGATGCATGTATAGAATGGGAACAGAAAGAGCCAAGAAAATAACATTATTGTCTGCTTAAACAAGAAAAGAGATGCAAGATAAACACATGAGGTGGGATCGTGCTGGAAAATATAGGCAGCAAAAGAAGTCCTAAAACTCAGCTTTATCGCTGAACACTTAACAGGAGGAAGAACAGACAAAGCACATAAGTTAAGGAGCTAAGATCGCAAAACTGTATTAAATTACAACTGGCTGCAGTTTGTTTCCAGACACAGTTCGATGCACTGGTGCTTATTTTTAAAGCACAAAGATAGATTGGGATCTGGGTACCTCAAAAACCATCTTTTCCCACACAAATCTGTCAACATACTCCATTTATTTTCAGAGTCTGTTCTGTAGGTAACTCCAGCCTATCAATGTTAACCAACTAATTTTCTTTCCTAGTGTTCCACCCATTATAACATCTGGTATCTACAACGCATGGAGTTTTCAGCACCAATTAAAAATCTTTCCCTCCTTCCAGGAAATCAGAAAAAAAAATACTGCCTGAATTTTCTGTTCACTTTGCTATTGTCTTGCTTTTAGTTTTTTTTTTCACTTGTTTTATTTTCTTGTGCTTTTGTTTTGTTTTGTTTTTTGCTTGGTGCATTCTTTTTACTGTTTTAATAGCATGTCTGAACCACCAAATTACTAGAAATATTCACGGCAAGAGTATTAATGTTATTAAACAAATAAATAAGATTAAAATAACAAAGAACATTGCTGACAGATTGAGATCCAACACCCTTCATCTTTCTCTGTAGTGATTTCTGTCTTTAATTCCTGACATATCAGTCAGGATATTAAGCACTGAGCCATGGAGCGGCACTAATGCCGTATATGAGAATTACATGGAAACTAATTGCTCCCTTTTAAAAAATAGTTTGCTGAAACTGTTAAAATCATTTGGGATGAAGTTAAACATCTAATTCAATATGTGTTGTAAATATTAACTTCTATAATTCGATTCCCCTCAATTCTAAAAACTAGTAATAACTGAGGGGCTTTCATCCCTTAAAATGATTTTAATGATAATGGCCAAAATCCTATCAAGAAAATCCCGCATGGATTTTCTCCTCCAGCTCCTTCATGTGGTTAGTCCTGTAACTGGCTCATGCCCAGCTGGTTTCCAACTGGTTTGTTGGGTCATAGGAAGGAGAGATCCTTGGGGGAAGCCACATAACTGCCCTTTCACAATTAAATAAGTGAACAGGATTCTGGCCAATGATGATAACTCATCACCCCACCCCCACCCCCATAATTTTGCTCCTCTTACCTGCCACCCCAGGTCTCGGAAGCTCACATAGAGTTCATGTTTTTTACATGCCTGTTTCTGTTCGCTCGTGTTATAATCTGGGAAAAGAAAAGAAGTGCACTGTCAAAATATTTCCACAGTTCTCAGCCTTCATTATTTTCCCCTTTGGCTATTGCAAGCATCTAACTGGAAAGCTTCCGGGAATCTACCACTTGATACATAAAGAATCTAGACCACTACTCAGCTTGCTGATTGGAACAGTAGCAGCAGTCCTGGCCCTAGTGGCAGACGGACACTTCGAGAGTGAGAGTAATCTTGCAATTTTGTACATGTTTGCTCAAAAGTAATTCCCACAGGAGTGAACGAAGGGGGCTTCGTTCCAGGTAGGCAGGCATAGGATCGCAATCTTAATGTATATCCAGATAGATGAAGGGCATTAAGGGAACTACAAATATCACAAAAAGTAAGACATCATTTAAACAAATGTGCCGTGTAAGTTACAGTATGTCAGTTATTCAAATATTAGCAATTATTTTGCTGTTTCCTGCTCTGTTGAAAGACATAAAGGTCTCATATGTCTGAGGAAGTTCATTTGTCCAGGAAAACGTACACTAAAATATACTAGTATTTAAGGTGCCACAATGAATTTGTCTCATTGTTTTAATTTTTCTTTTAGTCTGTGCTGATATGCTAGCACAGACTAACACAGCTACCTCTTCTGAAGACAGACATTAACTGACCAATACTTAGCAACATCACTAGCCATTCTAGATATCTGTTTAACCCAAACCCGGACAAGACGGAGATCCTGAGGGTGGGTGGCCCCGCCATTGGTGGTCTGGGAAACTCCCTCACTTTTTTGGGGAGAGGTGACTCTCACCACTAAGACTGAGGTTCGCAGCCTGGGGGTCCATCTAGATCCTGTGCTTACCATAGAAACACAGGTAGTGTCAGTGGTCCGCACCGCCTACTTCCATCTTAGGCGGATTGCCCAGCTGCATCCCTATCTTGATGGTGGGGTGCTCACCACTCTGGTCCATGTGCTTGTAGTCTCAAGATTAGACTACTGTAATGCGCTCTATGTGGGGCTGCCTTTGAGACTGATGCAGAAATTACAAATGGTGCAGAAAGCGGCGGCCAGACTTCTCACTGGGTGAGAAAACGTCAACATATCTCCCCCACTCTGGCTGCCCTGCATTGGTTACTCGTTCAATTCTGCATTGATTTCAAAGTATTAATGATGACATTCAAAAGCCCTAAAGGCTTTAGGACCTCAATATCTGACGAAACGCCTTCTCCCACCTATATCTACCCGTATCACTCTTTCTAGTCAGGAGGGGCAATTGAGGGGCCTAATGCCAAGGGAGGCCCAGAGAGAAAGAACAAGAAACCGGGCCTTCTCAGCAATGGCCCCTTGTCTCTGGAACAGCCTGGCCCCCTTGCTGGGTATTTTTAAGAGCAAGCTCAAGACCTGGCTCTTTAGGCAGGCCTTCCCTCCTGTCATTATTTAATTTATTTTTGCTATCTTGTATCATATTATGTTGTTGTTATCTTATATGGCTATTGTTTTTATGAAATTGTTTTGTGAATTTGCTGTTAGCTGCCCAGAGTAGACTTCAGTCTAGATAGGTGGGATATAAATTAAATAAATAAAATAAATAAACTTGCAAAGTGTATTCACTTGAAGCGATAACGCACAAGACAACAAAATACATGAAAGATGTAGCATGCTGACAATCTCCTCCTTTCCTTCCTTCTTCTTCTTAAAAAAAAAGCACACAAGTTGCCCATCCAAACTGGGATGACTCTGTATAAGTAAGAAAGTTAACACCTCTCCCCTTCCTTCAGCTGCTGCTTCTCCTAATTCTCCTCTCAACCCTGCAGTGGTGAAAATATATAAAAATACCTCCACTGATATAGCTGGAATTTTATTTTGGTTTTAATTGTTTAGTGTTCATTTGTCATTACAGAGTGTCAGGAGAACTTGGAGAACAACATACAAGTATTGGAGAGACTCTCTCTCTCTCTCTCTCTCTCACTCTCTCTCTCTCTCTGTGTGTGTGTGTGTGTGTGTGTGTGTGTGTGTGTGTGTGTGTGTGTGTGTGCATGTGCACGTGTGCATGTTTGTAAACTTACAGAAGGACCATAGTACAATTAATAAATATATCAGATAATTTTGTCCTGAAAATTGTCAACATTATGAAACCCCAGTCAGGATCCAGACCTCATAGGTTCATCCATAACATAGAAAATATGTCAGCTGCATAGTGTGCATAGTGTGCATTTAATGCGTGGTGCAGTATGACTTTCCAAAAAAGGCAGGGGTAGTGTTTTTATTTTATCAGAAATATTCCTATACCTCCCATCAACTATCCCTTTCAGAGGTGTACAAAAGCTAAGAATCAATAAAACTGGGGAAGTAAAACTTTAATATACTGCAAAACAGAAGTGTAGCTGAAATCCTGCTTTGAGGCGTAAACCCAAGCATAACTTTCTGTCTCTTCCTTCCTTGTCAACAAACCACTGTGGCCGTGATTCTCCAGGAGAGCACCCACACGCTCACCAGGCCAGTGTGCAGGCAGCCCGCTTGCTCCACAAGAACTTGCAGCAGTGGCACTTAGTTTAAAATGGAGGACCAGATAGACAGTTATTTATTTATTTATTTATTTATTTATTTATTTATTTATCTATCTATCTATCTATCTATCTATCTATCTATCTATCTATCTATCTATCTATCTATCTATCTATCTATCTATCATGCCGCCCACACTACCCGAAGGTCTCTGGGCGGCTTACAGCATTTAAAATACAATAAAAAGGCAAAATAAAAGGGCAAAATAATTAGACAGTTATGCTTGGCCTTACATTATGAACAGGATTTCAGACAATGTAATGCCCAGCCTCACTAGGAGGTTTGATAGCCACGCTGGGTCCTTTTTGTGCAGAAAGTCAGGATAAAAATATTTTAAATAAATAAATATAGCTGAGTCTTGTTGCCCAGATGCCCAGGCTAGTTCCATGGGAACGTTCCTACACTGGGCACAACATAAAACATTAGGATACATATGGTTGATGGCTCAGTGGTCTAGGTACTGTATGTTTCCATGTATAAGATGCTACTTTTTCCTAAAATAGTTAAGAGTAAAAAAATTGAGGTTCATCTTATGCATGGAAGTAAGTCGAACCTATGGCACACGTGCCACAGCTGGCATGCAGAGCCCTCTCTGTGGGCACACGAGCCATGCCGCTGTCACTGCCATTGCCCGCCCGGTCCACGGTGCAGCGCCGCCACACTGCCAGGACTCAGCTCAAGTTCACGATGCCACCTTGTCCCTCGCCCGAAGGGAGCCCGCGAGTGGCGCTGGAGGTGGTGATCTGGCGGTGACAGCAGGAGGAGGAGGAGGCAGACGTGAAAGAGGAGCTGTGCCCGGCCACCCCTTGGTGTGAAATTGCTGCTGCCCATTGACTGCAACTCTGGCGCCACAGGAGAGTGAGCAAGCGGGATGGAGCACAGCACAGGAAGCCCAGGCGGGGAGCCCTGCCTATATTTGAGGAGGGGAGGAAAGGCGTCCCCTGGCCGCCCTCTGGAGAATACACAGGCCCAGAGGCTGCCTGCTGATTTGGGCATTCGGGCTTAAAAGAGTCAAAATTGGGGGGCATGTTATACACGGGGAAGTCTTATGAACGGGAAAATACGGTATCTGGCTGTGGAGACAGAGGTTGGAGTTCAATCCCTTGACAGGGGCTGCACACAGTGATCCTTAGGGTCCCTTCCAGAGCTGCAGTGCTAAGATGATATCTAACATTATACCTACCAGTCACCTAAATTTATGGCCAAAGCCCACACATATAAATTATGCTATTTTATGCAAATAATGTTCTGCCTTTCTCAGATTTGTAATGATCTAACACTGCCATCCATAATCTGACACCTTTCAAGTGTACTGGACTAGAACTCCATGGTTCACTGGCCAAACTGGTCAGGAATGATGGGAATTGCTGCCAGCTTGGACAAGGCGGTTCAAATTACTTTGACCACTTGGACAAATGGGTACTCTGCAGCCAATAAGATGAAATGGCCCAGATTTGGCATGGATTACAATTAGAGATGGGGACGAATCGCCAGTTTGGCATGTCGTCGAGCTTCGCGATCTGTCAAAGTTGACGAAGCATGAATCTCCTCCCCATGAACCGACAAAGCATAAATTTATTCATCACTTCATTGGGGGGGGGTTAGACAGCCAGAAGCTGTCTAAAAATAGACACTATCCCTGTTGCCTCCCTACCTTGGCTGCCCCAGTGTGCGCCACTGCCACCGCTGCCACCACCATCATCCACAGAGGCCTGTGCCATGGCGGGCTCTGCAGTCACTATCCAGCACTGCTTGCTGCAGTGCCCTCCTCCGCTATAGCATGCCTTAAGGGAATCTAGGCTGCCCTTTGCGAAGATGGTGGCTGCAACTTCCCTGCCCTAAAAGAAGCCGTAGCTGCCATTTTTGCAAAGGGCAGCCAGTGTCCCTTACAGCAGGCCGTGACTGCAGAGGCCGCCACAGTGGGGGATGGATGGCAGCGGCAGCGGGTGGCAGCAGATGACGGTGGTGCTAGATGGTGGTGGGTGGTGGCAGCGGCTAAGGTAGGGAGCGGAAGGGGACAGGATATATCCTGTGGAGCCAGCTGGCTGCCTATTGGCCCACCAATCAGCTGATTGGCGGGCCCTAGGCAGAATGGAAAAGCCATAGGAAGAGAGGGAAGGCTAGCCTTCCCTCTTTTCATATGGGGGATGAATAAAAATGGGGAAATATTCATCCCTTTGTATTCATTGGAGTCTTTGGAACTGACGAATATGAAGGGATGAATATTTAACAAATCAGTGATTTTTTCCAAATGTTGTGATCCGTTTTATTTATTTATTTATTTATTTATTTATTTATTTATTTATTTATTTGATTTATACCCCGCTCATCTGGTCAAATCGACCACTCTGAGCGGCTTTTTTATTCGTCCCCATGTCTAATTACCATTCATTTCCTTGGACACATTGAATACAATAATTAGACCACATGACTATATAAGCAATGGACATGGAAGTGAGGGAA